CAGCTCCCTGTGCGCCGGAAGCCCTCCTTCCGGGGAACCACGAGGCCGGGAGTGAGTCGCCGGTCCAAAGACCCAAAAAACTGGCGCTCCCCGCCCGAGGCTCCCCGTGTGCTGGGGGTCCACCCTCTGGGAGCCAGCAGGCAGGAAGCTGGCCAGCCAGAAGGCTGGTGCTCCCCACCCACAGCTCCCTGTGCCCACCGCGATTTTTATTTGACTTCTCGTGCTTTCCATTTCCAAGATTTCTCTTTGGTTTTTCTTCAGAACCTCTGCCTCTTTGTTGACTTGCTCCTTTATATCCTGAATTGTCTTCCTTAATTCTTGCAGGTGTTTATTTGTGTCTCCTTTGAGACCATCAGTCATTTTAAAAACAAAGAGAAAGCAAGTGAACCTCCAAATTCCCTCTCACAGAGGAAGTGGTGGGTAAAGAAATCCTCGTTTTGGGACCCACCAGCACTTGCAGTGTTGGGGTCTTAGTGATACAGGACCTCCAAGTGAGACAGGGAAATATTATAGCTCCCAATCTGTTAGACATGCCACATGCTGAGTTTGTGTTCCCCAAAGCTGAAGAGTGAATTCTGAAGAACAGAGGTTAAGAGTAGGACATTTTATTGAGGGAGACACAGCTCTTGCCTGAGAGAGACAGGAGGGTTGCCCACAAGCTCACTTCTCAAAGTAAGTTTTACAGAGCAAAATCACGAGGTGGGTGCAAAGTGGGACAGAACTATGGTCAACTGATAAGATCACACTTAGGTAATGTTGATCCAGCGGGGAAGAAAGTCACATAGCAAGTGCATGTGGAAAGAACAAGGACCTTTCCTGGAAGCGGATGGTTCAGGAGGTCCTGCTCCCCTACCTGGGTGACTGATGCCTGTTTAGAATATCAGGCCTTATTGTTTATCCCTTGGGAGGCGTGTAGGTGTACTCATCCCATCTTTGTCTGGAGGCCCGGACTTCAGTGACTGCGCCTCCACCCACAGCTGTAATGTGTTCTTGCCAGGCAGGTGCTTGTGCCACTGAGCTATATCCCCAGCCCTCTGTAATGTGTTCTTGTCTTCTGCACTGACTCCATTCAAGGGCAGGCCCTGCCTGCCTACCTAGAATATTTCTACCTAACTTAGCTAACTACCTGACTACCTAACTTAGACAATATTATCTGTCTTGTACTTTGCTCTTTATCTATACTTTGGGTCTCTCGCCTAAGAGAAACCATGCAATGTTTACACTTGTGAGCCTGATTTATTTCTGTCAGGTACAGGGCGGTGGAGGGAGCAGTGAGTCACATCTGGGCCTGTTTGTTTCCACACCCAAGTGGTGGCTGCTGCTGTGTGGTTGCTGAATCCTGGCCCAGATTTTGCTCTAGGCGGGGTCAGCCAGGGATGTGCTGTCTGCCTCAGGGGTGCTCCAGGACTTCTGGTGTTTGTGTCCGTCTGTGTCACCTGGAGCACTGTGGTCCTCCACTAGCACTGTGACCTGGGGGCTCCTGAGGTGCCTCATTTGCTCAGAGCCTCTATGTGCACTCCAGGGAGGTGCTGCGTGTGCCACCCGAGCGCTCAGGTTGGCAGGTGAGGAAGGCAAACGTTCACTCCATCCTGTGGAAGAGGGACAGTGAGGTGAACCTCACAACCCACAGGGCTCGAGCCCAGCTTTCAGAACCAGCCTCCTCAGAAAACCACACAGGGGGCTGGGGATTTGGCTCAGCGGCACAGCGCCTGCCTGCAAGCGTGAGGTCATGAGTTTGATTCCTGGTACTGGAAAAAAACCAAAAAGAAAACCACACAGGGTGGGCCTGCGTTCTCACCACAGTGGGCGGTAATGGCTACTGCTGAGCCTCCACAGCCTGAGCTCTGACTGCTTGAACTTCTGTGGTCTGTGACCAGCCCCCTCCTCCCACGGCATTTGTGTGTGACTGTCTCTTGCTCAGTCACTGTGGCAGGGGTAGCGGGCAGGGACTCTGAGCTGCTGAGCTCCGTCTCCTCCTCCAGGATGCGTCCAGCAGGACACCAGATTTCTACTACTTCCTGTGTGACCCGGAAGTTGTTGGGAGCAGTGTTCATCCTGTATGACTGAAGGGTGGCTGGTCTGTGACTTCTGATCCCCAGAATGGCTCAGTGTCAAACAAGAAGCCCTTTCTCAAAGGGACGCCTGGTTTACCACTCTGAGATGTGCTGAGCACCCTAGCGGATTCCTTTCCCAAAGTGAGGCGGCCACATGGGAGGAGTCACTTTCAGAGTCAAAGCCCACACTGGCTTTGCAGCTGACTCTGCTGGAGGCCAGCACTGTCGCCTTTTGTTTGTCCCTGGAGCTGCTGGCCTTTCCCAGGCCTTCTCCAGTGCTCTGAGGAGTAGGGGTCCCCCCCTGCAGAAGCCAGGGCTGCCATCTTGACTACTTCCTTCTTTGCTCTGCTTTGTTAGATCCTTCTTGAGTTTTCTTTATTTTAAAAATATATATATATTTTTTATTTTAAAGAGTAAAACAAGGATAACATAATAATAGGGGGGACTTAGCATATTACAGACAAAATGGTAGGAAATTATCAAGGATTATCGTTTTACATATTATTATCTACAAAATAGTTTCTCAGGAAAACAAA